CTGAAAATTTAGGAGAACGTTCCCCACCCACATGTGACCCCGCAAATTTAAATTCAGCTTCCCCGTACCCGTGGGTAATGCGTACGGCCCTGTGAAAGTTTTCTACGGGTAAATTAATATCTCGGGAACCACGGAGTCTAGAAGGCTGAAATTCTTGGGTAATGATTCCCTACCCAGACTCAACCTTGCCTATCCAAATTCAGCGCGGGTAAAACGTACGGCCCTGTGAAAATTTTTCACGGGTAAATTAATATCTCGGGAACCACGAAGTCTAGCAGGCTAAAACTTTAGGGTGGTGATCTCTTGCCCACGCTCAACTTTGCCAATTTAAAATTGGCCTTCCCGTACCCCCCCGGGTAACACGTACGGCCCCATGAAAGTTTTTGCGGGTAAATTATCTCGAGAACCACGAGGTCCAGGAAGCTGAAATTTAAGGGTAATGATCCCCTGCGCACGCTTAGCCTTGCCCCTTCAAATTCAGTGTTCCCGCGCTATCGGGTATCACCTACGGACTGGTGAAAAATTGTTAAGGGTAAATTATTATCTCGGGAACCACGAGGTCTAAAAGGCTGAAATTTTATGTAGTGACCCCCTGCCCACGCTCAATTTTGCCTATTCAAATTCAGCGTTCCCGCGCTCTCGGCCGTCACCTACGGGCTAGTGAGAGTTCTTGCGGGTAAACTATTAACTCGGGAATCACGGGAAGATATTCACCTTTCAAGATTCCGAATTCAGCTTTCTTGCACTGGTGCGTGAAATTTTTAACTGTTTTCGAATGTTTGAACTATTTTTGCGTAGACTAAAATAGATAGCAGTGAAAATCACTAATAGGCAATCGTTCGATGGACTGAACTGCACAAAACGCATGATCGCATCGGCTAGTCTGGTGCGCATTGCTATTTATTTTCTGATTGGCACCTTCTCGAGTCTTAATTTTAAATTGGATTCGAAAAGTGATCCGGAGGGTGGTGTGAGGGTTTGACTGAAGTCCTGCTTCTCTCTTCTGACATAGAGTTTTTTAGTATTTTCCGGTCTACAGCGAATTGGTTTCTTATACAATGTTAACTTGAGTACAGGTTTGAACTCGAAGTTGAGCATATTTGGAGAGATGGATTTAGTCTTTTTCGTATGCAAATTTCACCACGCTTGAATGCGGAATTTGCATACGAAGATGGCCAAATTCTCCATATTCGCGTCAACCGAACATACAGGCCTGGTAGTATTACAATGCAACCACCATTTGCATGTTCAAATATAAAAATTGGTTGTCCAGCGCCTGATTTTAGTTTTGGATATTTGATGTGTTCGTGCGCGGTTCGTTTTTTGTACAGCTGGTTGAAAGACAGTAACTGAACTAGGGGAAAGTCCAAAAATTCCGTCTTTTTGGGCCGCTTTCCGTTGAGCTGCTCCTCTCGCCCCCTTGGCATTTGCTGATTTCTGGGAGAACTTTGTGTCAAAATTGCGAATTGCAGGAGCAATGGCAAATTAAGATAACATGGCTGAGAACAATACGAGATGGCTGGAAGCAGCATCGTATTATCAAAATGTACCGAATTCAGAAGGTTAGTCGGTTCAAATTTTGTGTTTTCAAGGCAATTTTTAGTGAGTCTCAATCGTAATATTGGAGAAGTCTTTGTACGGTAAAGTTACTGGAAAGTTAAGGCTAACTAGGAAGACAGTGGCTGCCTTAGTGATAATTGAACTTTGAGTCTAAAGCAAGCGAGCATAGTATGTATCTAGAAATCACATATTCGAACGATTGATTCCTCGATGGTTTATCGGAAAC